GGGGAAAAACATGAGTCTTGATCTGAGTGATATGCTCCAAAAGCATCACCATGATTCACCACGCAGTCCCTCAACGATCTTGTTGACAAGAGGTCCACGATCAACAGGCTTTGTCGAAGACGATCTCGCTCCACCGGCTTTACCGGAGCTCGGAGCCAAGGGAGGTTTCCAAGTGTTGTCTCCTGACAAATCTGGAAACGCAGTCATGTCCTCAGCCTCCTCATCCTCACCCTCCGCACCCACAACTGGGTCCGCAGAAGCTGATTCAAACAAAACTATCCTCAGACGTGTTGTGAACTCCCAATCATGAAAATGTCCAGCACCTTCATAGTAGATGTAGGATCCCGACTTCGTCTCCAAAGGTGTGGAGCCATACTGCCCCTGAACGAACTTCAATCCATTCACGGACATGGCAATCTTCCGTCCCTTCGGGATCGGGAGGTCCGCTCGGCCGCGGGTCGGACAATTGCAGAACCTTCCTCAAATTGAGGTCGGCCAATTTCAAGAATAGCGAGATTCAAACTGTCATACGGGGTTGCACAAAGATTCCCTGGGCCTGCGACGTACCAGGAGTCAGGTCGTCACCTGCTCCGCTACCAATGTGAATTTGGTACGGAATCGTCAGCAGCCCACCAACTTTGCAAGTAGCGGCACGCCTCAAGGGCCCTAAGATCCAAACGGCAACAGCATTTACATGTCAACCTGGGCCTCAAAAGAATGCGACATGAGGTCAAATTGACAATGAGTATTCTGATACATTGTTAAAATCAAAAAATAATAATATTAGTAATACATATTAAGATATAGATATAATAATTTAAGAATAACTATGATGATGATGATGATGATGATGATGATGCTGATGCTGATGCTGGTGGTGGTGGTGATGATGATGATGATGATGATGACGATGATGATGATGATGATGATGATAAGGTATATTATATGCCGGTCGTAGATGATGGGAAACCCAATATTAGTATCCCAATAGTCAACACCCTAAGCGTGAAGGGCACGCTGGTAGCAGTACAGTTCAAGCTTCTCGGACGAAGATGGGACAGGTGAGTTTCGCTATGGTTTCATTCAAATTGTTCAAACTCTCCATGTTGGGCCACAAGGTAGCCTACCGTGCAGTACTGTTTCGGCCTTGGCCACGGCATCCATTGAAACCAGCTGAAGTTGGAAAGTTGGACCTTGTGATCAAGTTGGCATATGAATGCGTATGGTGGGTATGGCCACCTTGACATATTTAAAATGAATCATAATCAATCATGGTCTCATCTAAAGTGATGCAAATGATTTCCCATGATTTCCCATGATTTCCCATGATTTCCCATGATTTCCCTCACAAAACATAGCCACAACGGCTCCCCATTTCGATCGCCTTGCCGGGCTGGACAGGCAGCTTCACGCCGCCCTTGAAGATGCCACCCAAGCATTCCAGCCTTGCCCAGGCCCCAAAAAGCGATGGCTGGCTGGGGTCAAAGCCCTATTTCCTAGGTCCTAGGGAGTTCCTCAGAGTGGATCCTGCCATACGCACAGCTTTCCAGGGAAATATGATGATAGAGAGTTGGTTGCCTGCAGTTCTGCCCAACTTCCAGTTGCTGCTTCTAGCTTATGTGGGCGGAATTCAACAAATTGATCTTTGGAGGGTCCGGGCCCAATGGGTTGATATCCAGTTGGACTCCTGCTCTCATCGTGGTCGGCTGTGCGTGGTTTCTTCTCGGGGGGCTCCACCATCTCGGGGTCATCTTTCCTGGGGGGTTTAACCAGACCCTGAAGTCATGGCCCTGATGTGGGCATTACAATTCCCAAATCATCATTTCAGTGAGCCATCATTTGCAGCGTTGTGAGGTCGCTAGAATTGACCCAGCCCTTTGCTTCCGCAACCGTATCCCTGAGTTGTCCAAGGCCTGTTCGACCTTCTTAGCTTGCATACTGAAAGACTTGCCCAACAAAATCCTGCAGAAGTTGATTGTGTTGATTTGCTGGGTGTTTGACGGTGTTTGATGGTTTCAATATGTTTCAATCTATCTTTCAACCCATTCCAAAGATTAGTCAAGTGGATTATCCTCCCAACTGGCGCCAAGCAGCATCGTGGCCGGCAGTCGCTCCCCGTGGTGTCGGTGGCTCAGAGCCAATATGGCTGCAGGGCTCTAGAAATTGGTGTTTCAATGTGGCATTGAAATTGGAAAATCCATAAAAATCATCTAGTTATAGGCTTATGTTTAAAAGAAAAATCCGGCAAACCATGTTTGATTTGATTCCTAAAGGGTTTACAAATTTCAAGAGTTCGCTTCTTGGCGGATTTCATTTTAGATTTCATCGGTGACTTGGGCGGTTCTCGACGGAGCAATGTGGGATGACTTGCCCATTGAGGGGATTTCCATTGCACAATGGGACTGCTAGAAGCGCAATAGTGAATGGGAAAACCCCATCCGTAGTGCAAATACAACTTAAAACGAAAGACCGGACACCCACTTGGTTCAGAAACCTCTATTATATAATATATACATATATATTATATATATTATATATTATATATATATAATTTGTCGGCCTAAATTGCTAGTGACACGGGTCCTTTTGAACGTCTGCGCATCCCTATTGTGTCAAGAATGGGCGAGCAAATTGATACAGCATCCAAGACTCGCCTATCCCTCAAGACCCTTCCCAGCAGACGCACCTCCAGAGACCTGGGTGTGAAGGGGCCCAAGGGTGGACCAGATTCTTTACAAATTACCTCTGAAATCCACCCAGGGGCCTGGCTTAGCATTCTTTGTTTGGTCCGGCATTCTTTCCTCCTGGTAACCCAAAAAAAGTATGCAGCCAAAAAAAAACAGTCAACCAAGGCTTACGCAGAGGGCAGCATATGGCAGCAGTCTGTTTACACATCTGCGATCTGCCACTACAATATTTCAGAATGTAAAAGAATGCAGTGGAAAAGGAATTGATTATCTAATATAATCTATCTGATAGTACATAGGCACTGGTAACTTTGGTGCAGTTCTCAGGGCGGACAGGCCAAAATTGCTGAGGTGGGCACCCAATCATCAGCTCCACAGCTTGATTCGCGACAGCGTCGATGTGGTATTTCTGATGGACCTTGGATGAGCGCAAGCCCTGCTCGAAAGGGGACATGGGCCCCTCGTGGCAAGAAAGGCATCCCTAAAGATCCAAGACGGAATCCGAGTCCGAGCCCAGTCTTTGGGATTCTTTGGGTCCCATGTAAGTTGTCAGAGGCATGGCATAAAGCACATAGGAGCCCCCCTCAAACCATCAGCGGTTCTCATCTCCTCCAAGGATGGGTAGCTACTGGCCCAGATCCGCAGATTCTCTACGAACAAAGTGGTTTGATTTCCATCCCCACCAGCTTAGACAAATCATCGGGTATGATTACCCACCGAGATTGTATGGCAGAAATGTTTACATACCCTTCACCTAGGTTGTAATGGGTTATCCATTTTGGTTCGGGAAATGCATAATCTTGTTGGTTGGCTCCCCAAATACAAACCATGATTGTGCAAATACAGTACCCTTCATCAAGGTCTTACCCAGTGTCCTGGCAAATTATACATAACCCCATGAAAATCCCAAACCGAAATGTCAATTGTTGAAGGATATTTAAGGTCACTTTGGGATGATTCCCCTTTGCCAACCATCATGTTCAAGCTTCTTGTCTCAGTGCAAGCTTCTCATGCTGATAGTGGACACCATTGGTAAACCAAATTTACTTAGTTTAAGGATATGATATGTCCCATATTTCAGACCACTTTGGGATGATTCTCCTTAATTTTTAACCATCCATCATTTGAGCAGTGTTCAAAAGCCTCTGTTTTGCACTAGTTTGTTTAGTTTTCGGATTTCCCATCAATTGTGATAATCCCCCAAACTAACCATCAACCAACCATCATGTGTAAGTTATCCTATGTTTGATGGTTAAAACCCCTATGATTGTTGTGAATCCAATTTGCAGACATAGTTGTATCCCCATAGTACGATTGATATAATCATGACTACCGTCATTTGTCAGTTATATCATTATCCACTTTATATTGTCATGGTTAATGCAATTAAAAACCCTATATAGTACATATAGTTTCGTCTGAAAATAGGATACTCCTAAATCCATGCATACTTGTACAGTATTCCCTATTGAAAATTGCCATAACTGGGAGGTCAATCCCCCATTTGTTCGGCACGGTCATTTTAGTTTCAAAAAAATGCGGTTACTACAACAATAGTTGCTAACCCAAAATATTAGCCATATTACTAATGCATGTTTACAATAATCATGACTACCGTCATTTATCAGTCATATCCACTTTCTGTCCCCATATGTTTATGGTCAAAACCCCTCTAAAAAGATCTAAAAAGTACTCTAATCTGGGTAAATGACACTAACCTGAAATACGACTATAGGATAATCCCCTGCAATCCATGATTCTAGTGAGGTCACTATGGCTATCTTCATCAACCAGGTTTGATGCAGCTGCGGCACCAGGTCACAGCCTCTGTCCACCTTGCCACGCACCAGGGCGCCGCCGGCCACCACTTCGCGCATGGCCTGGCCGCAGGCATTTTTTCAGAGGGCATTGGTGGATCTGGGGGCGGAGAATCCATCAAAAATATGAGGGTAACCAAGGAAATGGTGATTTAAGCAATCACAAATAGATCGATACTATTGATTTTTACCACCAAAAATATCGGGTTGACCAATGAACCAACAAAAATGAAGGGCTAACCATCAAAAATAGAGGTTTAACCATCGAAAATAGGAGTCTAAGTTCGGCCAGCGGCCCACCAAGGGGCCCGGCCAAACTATGCTTTCTCTGGCACCATGGAGAACGTGTTTAGGTAAACGAAAATCAATATAGATATGGTTCATGACTGGCATATTTGTTATGTAAATTAAGAGTGAAATGTCCCCGTGTTTCCGGTGGTTTTTCCATCTCCATGTTGCCAGAGGGCACACCAGCGGCCCTGGGACGCCACTTTTTTCATTCCTGGGCCCCGCTGAGGTTTTCCGCTAGCTTCAGCGCATCCGCCAGCCGGGCTGCGGAACGATCCAGGGATGCGGACACCTGCCGCGAGTGCGGTAGCGGTTGTGGGACACATGGGAAACGTGGTGAAACTTCGATATGGGAAACTTCCAGAGTTGTGAAATGAAGTCTGTGAAAAAATGGGTTGACCCTGGAGATCAGTGGATGATGAAAACAGTTTTGAAGGGGATGTTGAGCGGTGCCTATCTTTTTGCTGTTGTCAATCCTCGCGGATAAAATACCTCGGATGTTTTACTGTGAAAGAAAACAGGATAAAATAACACGTTTTCCACAACGTGAGGTCCATGTATACACATATATGCATATAGATCTACATGCATGTGTGTCATCATGCATATGTATACATATATATATATGTGTGTGTGTGTGTTATGTATATATATATATATATATGCATACAGTATGTGTGTGCACATATGCATTTGAACAGATATAATGTATACATATATATATATATATCTGTGTGTGTGCTGTGTATATGTGAATAAATGTATGCATATATATATAATTATATCGTATGTGTGTGCGCATATGTATTTGAATATACATGTGTAAGTATGTATATATATGTATATATGTGTGCGTGTGTGTTATGCATGCTGCATATATATATATATATATATACATATATGTATATATATATATACATAAACATTCACGCTTCTACTCGAAAGGATGGATCTTCCGTTTCCATGCCAGTGCATGCCAGCTTCCATGGCCCAGTTCTGACCTGTTTGGCATGCATCTCCTGTGGCGACACTCAGTGGTGGTTGAGTGGCGTGTGTGTGTGGCTTCTTATATAAAAATGAAAAGATGAAGGAGTTCTAATTGCCAGGTTAGCCTCTTCAAAACTAACGGGCTTGATCAGGTGCAAAAATTGGCCTCTGATTCTCATCCAGCCGCTGATCATCATCTTTGATTCATCATCATTATTTATTATTCATCATCATCATCATCATCATCATCATCATCTGCTGCTGCTGCTGCTGAAAGAAGTGAATGCGAAGGGATGAATGAAAGAACCAATGCGAACCATGCATCAAAGAACAGGCGAAAGATGGGACAAAAAGATGTAAAGGGAGGGACAAATGCACATGTCGGTGGATGAAAGGGTGGGCCAGCCTAGCTTCAACGGCTGGATTTCTGAGAAATTTTGACAGAAAAATCATATCTTCAAGGTCGGGCCAGCCGCTAGCCGCTATTCCAACACCACATGGTGGTCAATGAAATATCCCCGTCCGTTCATACTGCATTGCTGCACAGTCATCTCCCCAAGGGAAAACCAAGCTCAGCTCAACAGCTTGGGATGCATAACCTCCTAATCGCTGGTAGATTACATCCCCAGTACTGGTAGATCTCTGGATGTAGAAATTGTATTGCAGTAGTTCGTGTCTCTGCGTTGCTTCCCAGAGGTTCAGATTTATTGCAATGTCATAATGTCAATTGTTCCTTTGGAAAATCATCTTCCAAACCAGTCTGTCGAGTTTATTGGGTTCCACCTTGGGTTTAAGGGCAGCATCTCTCTTTCTCGGTGCTGAAATCCAAACCCAAACCTCACATGTTTGTGCTTGCTTTTATCAAGTTTTTCCACATCGAGCCACAAAAGAATACGGGTTCAAAATTCTCAGCACACAAAATGAATCATCATGGATGATTTAGTACGCAAAATGAGACAAATGAGCAAGCCTGTTCGTGTCAATTTGGGTCGCGACCATTCTCTACCCATAGGGATTGGTTCGAAATCCCTCAGCTTCGATAGCTTTGTGCTTGATTGGTTGGGCCATCTTGGAATGATCCCCGATAGAAAACCCTATGGCAATTTCTCTGGCAAAGAAAACCAGCCATTAATAAATGATTGACCTCTTAAAATGATGATATTCCACTGCCATGTTAAGTATTGTGTTACTTTGCATTGCTCATCATTCATGATAAGGTTAGCAATGGGTCAAGCCATATCAAAACCATTCACACAAAAATAGCTCCCATAGCTGGATTGCAGGATCATCCCAGTCAGTAACTGAGGAAGAGAACCAGGCCTGGTGAATAAGTCCCCTAACCAGGACCAAACATCCCGTTGATGAAATAATATTATTTGTTAGAACGCCCTTGCCAACCGGATACTGTACATCCACTTACATCCAGTTACATCCAGTCAATTACACTATATATAGATTAATGACTTATATAGATCTTTGAATGATCTTTGCATATCAAGACATATGGATATCAAATGATCTTATATACAAATTATCACTTGCATCCAATTAATTACACAACATTACAAATCACTTATAATACATAAAATATGTCTCCGGGATACATATTTATGATTATTTATGTGTATAATGAGCGCTTACACTAATCACAATACATAAAATATGTATAAATCCCTTAAAATAATATAAATATGTGCATTATCTTATGATGATTTGCTGTGAATGATGAGTGGGTCTCCTCCTGCAATGTTAATCATCTAATATTTGCAGTATCTAAATCATATTGAATCATCATATGTTGCCCGCTCCTTGCAGTGGATCTCCTCCTGCGCTTCGCGGTACTTCTCCGCCGCCAGCAGCGACACCTGCTGCAGCTCCGCCGCACGGTCCGCCGACAACGGCAGCACGGGGCGCCAGCCGTCCGGCAGCGCACGGCTGGTGGCTTGGACCTGATGTGCCACGGGGCCCGGCCACGGGTGGGGCCCTGGGAAACATGGCAACATCCCAAAAAAAGATGGCGAAAATGGTGAAAAACCTAGAAATGAGATTAAATATGATCAAATGAAGCGTGGAAAAACATCGAACTGCAAGCCTGGAAATAGTGTTCGATCTTTTTGGATCTTTTTGGGCGTACTATATGGTGACATTTATGTGCGTTTTTTTTTACATGAAGGGTTGGCAAAATGATGCAAAATGATGATTCTTGGGGCGGGTGATGGTTTGGAGGGAAAAAAAATGTTGGAAGCGTTGAAGTGATCCATGGCAAGGATGATAAGAACTAAACGACCTGTCGGACCTTTGAGCTGTCCGAGTGCGTCCAAGTGATGAAGGGGTGTTTAAACAGAATGAAAAGTTATATAACAAAACTGGATCTTTTCTGTAGTGGTCAGTTTTCAGCACACGGGAGCAATACGGAGCGAGCTTCAACGACACGGGAGAAGCAAAGTGGGTTGTTGCAAAACATTTGACTAGTCACAACTAACTAACAGTAACATACAGTAACAACTAACAGTAACTAACAATTTACTAGTCACAACTAACTAACAGTAACTGACAGTAACTAACAAGCACCATCAGATCTCAGAAAAATTTCCTGTGCAGGTCAGCAGGTCCCCGTGATGGCTCCGCAACTTTCGTATCTTCACCGCTTGATCAATCGATTGATTACGGCTAGTCAAGAGGATTGCCCGGGAAAGGTTCAGTATATCAGCAAGATATGAAACTACGACCATGACTACAAAAATGGTCCTCCGTCCGTTGATGGCTTTAAAAAAACAGCCCGACCTACCATTCAACAATGTTTGCCCAGACTTTATTGCGTTGGATCCACCAACAGAAACCACGTCTGTCCACGGCGAACAAAGTCGCCGTGCGAAAGAAGTTGGGAACCAACTCGTCGCCTGAAGCCTCTGGAAGGAATGGATAGATCGATTCGATAGAATCATAGATCACAAAATGCCAAAAAAGATGTAAAGAAAATGTCAACATGCGAACGGCAAATAAAGAAAAAATAAAGATGAAAAGTGTAGAATATACAGGACACCACCTCTCGGAGGTTTGAGATGCCTGAATTCGAGATGTGTGGCAAATCAGTCAGCTCCCACATTTCATTCACAGTTGATGAGTTGATGGCTGATCATTCCATCATTTTAGGATACGGCTCGCCGCTGTTCCAACACTTCGTGGCCGCTGCTTATGTCAAAAGAACTGGCAAGGAGGCAAAACAAAATATGTTGCAAGGTTTATAATCTTTAGCTTCAGTATGCTTCAGTACATCCATGTTGAGGTACCCAAGAGTGGCCCGCTACAGCATCGCATGCCTCCTGCAACTGCTGCTCAGCGTGCTGTACCAGGCCAGTGAACCACAGCAGCAGCGGCAGTCGGGGGTAGTCTACCCAAGGACTCGTTAGGAGTTCCTGCGAGGATTACCCTGCGGGAATCAAACATGGCAAGCTGGGAAATCCAATGGAAATCCACTATACATGGAGCTTCTAATAGGGAAAATCATCTACGGTGGATTTTCCATTGCCACGTTTGATTTCCGGAGGGTATGGATCAAGGAAACTCTGCGATTTCGATTATTTCGAGCGGAAAAAAAAGCTTCAAAAAATTGGCATTGAACTTTGAAGGTCAAACTTAGGCGATTGAACGGAAAGAACTGGATGTAAGAAATCTTTAAAATTTTAAGCACTGGGAATTCCGGGAAGAGAAATTAGAGGACACCGCAATGTTGTGTGCCTTTTCTTGAAACCAAGTCTGTGAAGTATGTTGGAGAAAATCTATATAATTCCCCACATCTGAACAAGGAAGCTGCAGGAAGCTATTCTATTCAGCTGGCCCCACGAGAGTACGTATCCGTACACACAGAAGTGCCTTGCAGTGTCTTTCCAAAAGATATCAAAAGATCAACCTCCCAGCTGGATGAAAAGGGCTTGGAAATGGTTTTCCGTTGCATGCAACCACTATGGGTTGCAACCCCGGCTTGCCGGAATGGGTCAACCACAGGGATCACAGGGTATCTTCCCATGCTTCCTCCCAAAGGGCTACCAACGGCTCGCCCGACAGGAAACCCACCTCGGACAGTGACTTGGGAAATGACTGAGGGGAAATCCATGGAAATCCTGGAAAACTTCTGGTTCTTTGCGATCTTTCAGCCCAAATCCCTTGGAAGATTTGGAAAGATTTGGACAGACTGACAGGATTTGGCAGATCAATTTAGATTTGGATTTGGTTTGGCGGATTGATGCCGTTGCATTCAAGAGAAGAATCAAAGAACTCATAAGTTCCGATTGGAGTTGCCATGAGTTGCCTACGTTACAACCAAATCACCAATTGGAACGGCTCGTCCTTCACGCGTCGTAGCAGCAGAACCCGTTTTTGTCTATTGTCTTCCATTGCCAATCAGGAAGGAAAATAATCTTACAAACCCATGCCAAATTTTACTCCCTATACATCGTTTTGGTATGTTTTGGGCATTCCAGTGCTCTCTCAAAGACTGCCGGGAGTGTATTGAGGCTGAGCTCCTTTGTCATTTGTGGGAGGAGATTCCAGAAATATTTCTGGAAAGCCACTCTTGAGGAGTTCCCATCTTTCATTGCCCTTTCCACCACTCACCTTAGATACCCCATTATGATATTCAGTGACTCAAAATGTCCGAAAAATCAAACGCTGCAACCTAGCATCACCAAAGTTTATCCCTTGGTAACTCAAGTTATCTACTCACTTTAGATTGCCACATGGTACCCAGTTTCGAGGTGGTGTCGTCTTCTTATTGCATAAATTCCATGTTTTATTGGGGGATTATCGGCGGTAATCTCCATGTCCAGTGGCTAAATCATGCTAAGGCTAAATCCAAGTTTTTGGGGTTGGTCACTGTGTTACTAGCCAATCCATTTCTACTATGTTCTACTGGTACCTGGCAAATTCAGGGGCTGGTGACTAGAATGACTGGAAAGAAAAAATGTCTAGTTGTTCGTAGTTGTTCTAGTTATAGTATGTTATAGTTACTAAATCCATGTCCCCTTTCCACCGAGGCTCAAAGCCCGAGAGGAGACACCGCGCGGCCAGCGCCGAGACACACTCCTAAACGTGCAGGGTAGGGTTCAAGGGCACACCACCTCACAAAAGAGATATGTAGAGTCACAAATATCTTGAGACGTTCACATACAATAACAACCCAAAAGTTTAAGTCGGATCTTTACGGTTTGCTTGTTTTTTGGGTGTTGCTATAAGTTCACCAAACATGTCGGGTTTCACCAAGAGGGTGTTGAAACATGTTGGAACAGCCAGTTGCAGGCTGGTGAAATGGGATGAAATTGGAGAAATGGTGGTCATTTGGGGGTGATCATCCTATTGTTAGCGTTGCAAATGGACATATTTGAAACCAGCCAGTCTTGTAAATGAGGAACTTGATCGAAGTGTCACTCAGTGTCACCAAACACGGTGGGTTTCGCCAGCCAACATCACCCAGCCATGAGAGAAGCATCTCTGCATAGTGCCCCTGAAATATCACTTGGAAACATCGGAAAACGGCAAAGTCAGGTAAAGGTTTGGCCATCGAAGGATCAGCATTGATGGATCTGCGAAGGACTCAGGTTCCGAAGTTCAAGTATTCTCGAATCAACTGCGACTTTGGGGACTTATATGAATACATTAAAATTTGGAGTTTACAGCATACCCTTAGGGACCTTAATTAAGAGTTTTCAAGGTTCTTTGAAGTCCTTCATATCCTTGGTTCGTGCCTGAAAGGCCCCACATGACAATCACTCAATCAGCCTGGCAACATGATCACCAAGGCAAGGTGAAAGGCAGAAATTGGTTCATAGTTCTTCTGTCATTTTGGTGGGTTACAGTGCGATAAACCAAACTACAAAAATTCAACCAAATAATACCAAATATACCAATTTAATCATATTTAATCCCAATTTAAGCAAAGCAATTCAAATAACTATATATAACATGTATTGACCCTCTATCCTTGGGGACGCTTTATCCTCTGCCAGGCTTCGGCCAGCCCCGTGGTTCCCATGCGTTCCGCCAGCTGCGGCATGCTGCTGGCCACCAACTGCGCCAGCGCCGCCTTATCGCCGTGGTAGCCCAACATGGCCGGGCGCCGGCTGAAGAAGTCCGGGCCCAGGATGTCCTGCCGGCCATGGTCCACGGTTGGGAAGCTGCCAATCACCATACTATATATAAAGCAACCTTCCAAAAAGCTGTTCTCGAAAAATGACCAAATCCCTACTAAAAGAGTGAAGAATGACTTTTTCTGTAGTTTTTTGGGTGCTACTATAAAGCCAGTTTTAGGTGGGATATACCCCAGACATATGTGGGTTATCAGACTGTTACTATTTTGGGATCCACCCCCAAGTCGAGACTTCATCTTTTTTGGGGGGAAGGAAAACACATCTCAATTTCATCAAAATGCCGTACATAAATTGTGACAATTCACCACGAAGAACGAAGGTTGCTTCAGTAGTATGTTTTCGTATCTTCACCATTTTGAAAGGGCCAAGCTGCATTGGAAAGGGGGCTGGGGTTTTATGGGAAGATACCTACCTGCCACCGTGAAAAGCAGTGAAATAACGCAGCTGTGATCAGGAGAAGGGCTTAACAATTTATGATGAGCACAATGCCCTGGTCCTCAAATGGCGGGTGTTTGTCAGGTTTGCCATTAATGTGGTAAACTGATCACCCCACTCATCAACCATCTGCCATTTTGGTTGCCACACTGGAAAACTGATCTATCAGTTTTTTTTGTGCACAACCTTTTAACGACCATCCAATACCCATACCTGATGTTAGGGAGGGTGACCTGGGCTACTGTCCAAACGTTACGAGATCAAAGCCTACTGTCCTGCAGGTTTCAAAAACAAATCTATTGCGTTATTACGTGTACTTAGGTATGCATTTGCACAAATCTCTGTGTGTGTGTGTTCGTGCGAATATACATATATATATATAAGCATTTAATATATATATATATACAGTATATATATATAGACACAGACGAACATGCATGCATTTATGTCAGGGAAATCTATTCAAGAGCCCTCTATTCTTGAAGGTTTCATGCCACAAAGGTCTCAACCAACCGATGTGGTATGAGATGCTCAAAAAAGGCAAAAGGCTCTTGAATGGACTATTCATGTGCGAAAATACAGGTGCGTACACAACATATACATATCTGTGTGTGTGTGCGTGTGCGCCCACCATACACCTTCACACAAAAAAAAACATTTGTGATGCCCACCAAAGGGTTTGTCCAATGATGTTCTGGGTTTCATCCTTAATCCATTGTGCAGGACCCCCGCATGATGAAAATCGCCCACCTCCATGAGGTAAGTGAAGAGCCAGAAGCCTTCTTCTTCTCCTTGTGCTGGCTGTGATGACCGTTGTGAGTGATAGTCGAGACGATGCTACACCATCTTGATTAGGGATAAGTTCTTCAAGTACAGTCGCTTGAGGGCACTCGAGGGACATCACATGATGCAAGGTTCAAGCATCCAGGAACCGAACAGACTACAGGTGTGTGCTGCCGCACCTTCAATACTCCTCCGTCTCACAAAAAGTGTTAATTTCAAGACGTGCCTAAGTGGTTTCTATGCCACCCCAAGAATATCAGTGAGCACCTTCATCACTTGTTTTTTCCCACATCTGAGACAATTATGTCCCTAAATGAATTGATGATGATATGCATTACATCCTGAATTGGTTGAATATATGCCTCTAGTATATCAGAAATACGTGGGTTTATATTTTATATATATATATATATGTATATATATATATATGGGTTATAATAGATAGATAGATATATATATATATAATATATATATACACGTATATCTTGGTTATCCCCTCTCTCAGACTCGGCGTAGCAGCTATCTGCCCAGTTTCTGCCAGCCGTGAAGCCCAAGCACATGGCTGCCATCATGCTACATCCCTGCACATACGTTGGCACTGGATCGCCCGCCTACGCAGAAATGGCTTGCCGCCCTCCGGCCACGTTAAAATCAAAAAACACATGTTCTTGATGATCGTCTTTGGAGTTATTTCAATGTGTATATATAATTATATATAGATATACACACATATATATATATATATATGGATAGATGGATAATGATATATATATATATATACTACTAACGTATAATATTTGATCTAAGTAATTACCAAACAATGGTTGCAATCGGTGACTTTCTGCTGCCGAGTTCGATTACAAGAGGGTGATAAGTATTGTAAAACACTAACAGAACCCTGTGCTAGCCCAGTTTGGGAATTTTCCTGTCAGTGTTCCACACAGCTTACGAGCCACGACGCTCACCCAAACAAAGATCCACAGTTCCACCCTTTTTCAGCTATGAATTCCCTTAAGTCCTGCATCGTTTGAGCAGCTCGCCTGTGGCGGTCGCTTCACAGTCCGGAGTATCAACCTCAAAGTAGATACCCTCATGCTGTGTTGTTGGTATCCAAGGGGCAGCCCGCTTTGATGGGGCCAGTGATGATACAAGGCCTTTCCGCCGGCCATGGCCGTGATACCAGTGATAAACTTCTCTCATGGGCCGATGGCATGCGCCGCTGCGTAGGAAGCACTGGCACTGGAGCCGTCGCCCGTCATGTAGGGCAAATGGAAACCGCCATGGGGATGCATGTCTGCTTCCTTTGCTGCAAGGCTCCTCAAGCTTGGAAGTTTGAAGTACAGAAAAAGTTGGGCCCAGGATCTGCGGAAAAAGTTGGGGCTCTGCCAATGGAAACTTCAAGAGGCACCAAGATATCATGTTTCCTATGTCATCCATCTTATAATATGTTATAATGGTTGGCTAAAATGATCCTTACCCGCAAATGGATGTCCCCAATGGATGACTCAACAGTTTCGAGATCGTCGGTGCTGTCCTCAGCAAATCTGCCTGGACCGAATCTGGCGTGAAGAAGGCCCATGTCGCAGGAGCCGGGCGACCCTTCGTGGAGCGACTGGCAATCTTGATCACTGAGGAGACATTGGCCATGAACCAGCCTTGGAGAAAAAAAATGCCCACGATGATCAAAGCAGCCACCCAGTTGTCCAGACTCCTGCAACAAGCTGGGCAAGCTGGAACCCGGGATCTCAAGGTCCTTGGATAAATTTGGAATGGAACATCGAACCTCAAAATAGCCAGCAGTCCCAAGGGTGGAAACTCATGTTCCAAACACATTCTTGGGGATTCAACCAAGTTCCGGTGCAAGTTTTTGAGGGTATATATTTTTATATTATTTGTTCATCTTCCCCACATCAGCTCCACAGGGATTCCTGAATTCCCTGTCCCGTCCTCAGGACCGAAATCAAGATTTCCTCCTTTCGCGACAGGTTGCCATTCTGCCCCGAGGTGCGGTGAAGCCATGCAGCATAGCCGAAGAGGGAGGAGATGATCAGAAGAACTACCACCATGATTGTGGTCACCTTGGTTCCAACATGTTCCAACATGTTCCAACTTTGAACCGTTGGAAGCGACCAGCAAACAATGGTGATTTCAACCACCAATGGTAGTTGGTCCAACTAGAATTGTGATTCAAGTCTTGAGTCGCAAAACATGGTGATTTCAGTTGCAAGAAGGATCAAAATCAATCCAGAAGGAATGGGGCATTCCCCCCAGACCTCTGGGGCCCGCGGTCCAGCCCACAGAAAATCTGCTCCAAACCGCCAGGTGACGGTGGATTTCTTCCAGGTAAAGATTTCCGTCAACTGGTGGATGCCGGGGAGGCTCAGGTGTCTCACATCCTCAATGATGGGATAAATAGCTTCAATGGCTGAGTCCAATATGCCAGCGCCCCCAGGAACCTGCCAGGGAAAGTGCCGTCCCAGACCTGGTTCCTTATATTTGCAGTCGCAAAATCATATCTTTTGGAGGCACCCCTAATTCACTCGTTCACCACCATTACCCGAAAAGACCGGAGAGAAATGTTGTGGCTTTCCTGTTGGCTTCCCCTGGGCCAAAATGATAAATGCGTTCATTGTTCATAAATACGTATGTCTACATTATGTATATGTACGATATCTCATATGGTTAGCATAGAATACATAATAAACTTAATAATTAATGAATATTACAAACAATATGTAATCAATATCATATGCAATGAATAGTATAAATCTATATATAAATATATATATATATTGTGTGTGTACACACCGTATATGCCAAGTCCACGTTGTTCCCCCCGCCTTCCTCAAGGGATCCAAGTTGGGCAGCCCATCTGCACGGAGCGTCACCTGCCGACCCCTCACCTCCTCGGGCGGCAGATCTTCCATGACCAAACTCTTCTCGTAGGTCACCAGCACCCGATCCGTGCCGGCCGAGGGGTCACCAGCCTTAGGGCTGTTGCGCCCATGTCCGAGGGAGCTGAGCGATAAAGGAATCCCTTTAAGATCCACGCAATGCTTCAAGTGTGTGCAATGATGTTGGATTTTACCCTCCAGTATCCTGCAGTAGTTGAACATAACTAGGGAATATCACCATGTTTAGTAGGTAAATTATTGAACTATATGGGCCACTTTCCATAGCTGTCAAATTGCTAGAGGGTAAGCAACATGTGGGGCAGATCTGTTGTGGCAACGGATTGTCAGAAAAAAATGTGGAGTGGTTCCAACTGCAGCTTTCTCCGTTTAAGGAAAGCGGACCCCCCTGTAGTTTTGGGTAAAAACCTCTGGTTTCCTGTAGGTTTTCCCTCAAATCAATCTGTTAGTTGTTGGATGGCCCCCCATTTCCGCACCACAATATGCACACACGTCCGAGCTTCAGTGGATTCCACTTTGGCCTTAGGCCAGGGAAGCGCTGAAAAGACAACGTTCATCAACACTCACCCTTAATGGTACTCCAACATTTTCTTCTGAAAGCTCCCCGGTCTAAGAAGCCTCGATTTGCCTCTTCTGTCTATCTGTCTATCTATCTATCTATCAACTGTTTATTCATTTGTCAAATTAGTTGTTTACTTCTTTATTCGTGTATGTACAATCATTTGCATGTGCAACTATGTATATATATATACATATAGATTTGTGTGTGTAGGACTCACTCACCAACGATAGAAAAGTCGTAAACTTGGAAAATATGGTGGAACATCATCTATACCATCCTGGAAACACAGTTCTATCTTTGGGTGGTTATAGTATACATCAAAGTCTCAAGTTTCCCCAGTTTCTGCTGGTGATCTATTATATAGTTATATATATATATATATATGCCCGTGTGTCTCCTTTATATTATAATATCGATATTATATACATATATATCCTGTATATTGACCTGTTCCATCCAAAGGAAACATCCATCACATCCATCAAAACCTCGTGCGAAATCCATTCAACTTGGCCGGTGGATGTTGGAAAAAAAAACTTGAAAATTGATGGGATCATCCCAAGTGAAACCATCGAATCCACAGAAAGACATCATATAGAAACCACCTACCAGAGGGTTTTTTTCAAAACCAGGTGACCCAAAAAAAAATTATCCCTTAAGAATGGTGATGTGTCATGGAGGTTTCCCCAATCATTTCTAGTTTCTACCCTTCAAAACATCGTTCAGAACTCACGCTTCAGCTGCCAGGTGGCTGGAAAGCGGCCGTTGACCCACACCAAATCGCCCTTTCGGAAGTACTGCTCTTCCATCTCCACGAAGTCCGCCGCGGATAGCGCCAGCCGGAGCTGTTCCAAGGTAAGCGTTGGCTGGCCGTCGCGCACTGCTTGGGAGGCGAAGGTCTTCAGTTGTCCTCAGAAAAAATGAAGCGAAAAGGATGAACATGTGATAAATGTCCTTATAAATTAGTCACTTACAAAATCTAGAAATGAAATTAACTGAAATTACATGATGGGATTTGGGTTGGGGGTATTTAATTTTGGGAGGATGATTGCGTTGATGGAATTCCCATGAAAATATTGTCCAACGGAAAGGTGGACAGCAAGCAACACATAGCTCCCAAAAGCTGCTGATCGCTACCCTCTAGTAATCTAGCCGGGCAATGTTAAATTCCCATTTGGGTAGATGATGTTATCATGTTCCCATATCGAAACCCCCATGGTGTGGTGGATTAAAAATCGCAACCTTTGAAATGTCGCTTAAATTAGGGGAAAAAAACTACATGTCTCTAGATTATTTTTGCAGGTCCCCCTTAAAACCCCCTTTCTTTCACACCGAAGTTCCCATCGAAATCAAAAAAAGAACACAAATTTTAAAAAAAACGGCTCAAGTGGGCCATGGAGTTGGCAAACTGGTGAGTATTGGGGCCCCAGTTCTAAGGGGTTTTCTAACCCGTGAACATCCACCAACTCCATGGCGGTTCCGGTTCCGGTGGGAAGTGTCGTGGATCCGTCAACTTGGCCTTCATGTCCTCCTTCAACACGCGCGTCACGTACTTCAGCACCTCCCCGCTGTCGCGCCAGGCCGCCGTGTGTTTGAAGCCCTCCTCGGTGAGCGCAGCATTCTGCCCGCCACGCGTCATGTAGCTGCGGGCGGAGGGGAAGCGGTTCACGATCAAGGAGATGGCCAGAAGCCTTGGAACTGATGAAAATTAAGGTGGAGAAAAAGAAATATGAAGAACTGAACAAGTTAGGAAATTTGGGTTTTAACCATCAAAACTTATGGGAAAATCGAGAAAATTAACAACAAAAAATGGTGAAAAACTAATCCTAATCATTTAGATTCCCCGATTTCTGGTGGATATATATAAAGAAAGCACCTAGCAGCCGATGTCTCCAAGGTGCTCCTGGTTTTTATATGAGCGCACTTATGGGAAAATCCAACTAATCTTCCCAGGCTACATTCCCCAGTTCTGGTGGATAAGTGAATACGAGACGAAAAGATTATATAAAAGTAAATACTATATATATATATACATACGCATAGATATGCAAATGAATAAATGAAAAAATAAAGACATACATACATTAGATACATTGCATACATTACATTACATTACAGTACAGTACAGTACATTACAGCACCATCACATTACATCACATCACATCACATTACTTCACATTACATCACATTAGTATCACATTAGTATCACATTAGTATCACATTAGTATCACATTAGTATCACATTAGCATCACATCACATCACATTACATTACATTACATACCATTACATAACATACCATTACATAACATAACATTGCATGACATTGTATAACATACAGACAAACATGCATTGCACAGGACAATGTAAATAGAAAATACGTATAGATAAGTAATTATATAATGATGAACAAATAGATATATAAATAAACAAATAAGTAAATAAGAAAATAAATAGATAAGTAAGTAAATAGATAAATAAGAAAATAAATACTGTAAATATATATATATATACGTGAAGCAACAAATAAATAAATAAATAGATAAATAAACACATAAATATACAAACAACTATATTAATAAATAAGACAAACAAATATAAATAAGTAAATAGACAAATATATAAATATATACACATATATAATTACAAATTATTTAAAAAAATAGAAATAGATGAAGAAAGAAATAATGATGTATTCTAAATATATAGATAGATAACTAAATAAGCCAGTGGGGAAATCCCAAAACTGTAGAAAAAAACATGTCATCCAGGCGGCAGGGGGATGATGGCCCAGGTGAGGTAGGTCTTCCAACAGCAGAGCAGCAGACCCACCAGGTAGATGGCCGACAGCGGCAGGGAGCGCCAGGTCACCAGGTACCGGAAGCCATAGACGCAGCAAAGCACCGCATCATCCAAGACTCTGACCTTCACCTCCATGATGTCGTCATAGACACGTTGGACATCGATCTTGCGGGTGATTTTCACATCTTGTTTCAGGCCACCCAGATTCTCGGGGGCTGGGGCGTCCATGGCATAAGCAAAGAGGCTGTCAAACCTGCTCACCAGGAGCTTCAACCGTAAGGAGATGTAGACCTCCCCGGCGTTGCTCCTCTTCTTGCGGCCACCTTCCCTCAAGCTCTTGCTGATGGTTTCCAAGCCCATCTGGTCGGAGATATCTGCGGTGGAGTGCACACAGGCCTGGCTAGGGCCAACAAATGAATCTCATGAAACCTCCTTTGCACCCAAATAACGTCCAGGAATAATGCCAGAAATGCCTAAGATTGGAGGGCTATTCGGGGCTAATTGCCTGGCGCAAACCACTTCCTAGACAACGACATAAGACAACCACCTTGCGAGCCCTTCAGCTCCAAATTTATTTTTGCTTCATGGCTTCAACACACCCGAAAAATATTAGCATGTGTGATATTATTGTCATATAATGTCATGTATTATATCTCCCGCGGGAGATATCCCAAGAAAATTGGATCCCTGGCCATCAGCTCTGCCTGGAACGCATCTAAGGCCCTATCTTTGCTCTCCGCATAGAGCTGGGTCTTGGTAACCAGCTTGGTCTGTTTGTCGTCTGGGTCTGCCGCGGGCACCACGGATGGGGCCGAAGCCTGCTCCTGCGTGATGACTGTGTGCTACACTGGGTGAACTTAGCAAAACCCTCGAAGAGAGAAGGCAGCTAACGTCCAGGAGCCTAAAACCATGTTATGCTGGATGTGGGTTGGGGAGTGGGACATAAGCTTTCTGTATTTGCTTAGGGGGGTTGACGGATTCGAGTCGCTACCTCTGTAAATACTAATAGATCGCAATCCGGAAATCAACAATTTTTGGAGTGGCCCCTCCTGTTAATCATCATGATCATTCATTATCCATCATATCCATCATTCACCCGGCATGGTCAGCCCCAAAAGCGTCGCTTCAATTTTTCCACAGGTCCTTCTTCTTCCTCAAGGCCTCTTCTTCCGTTAAGGTCTCCTCCCTCATCTCACAATGCTGCTGGTAGCGCTGAACGCTGGTCATCAACAGACTTTCCTGGAAACGCAGCTCGAACCAGCCCTCAATGGCCTGGCCGTGGCCGTGGCCCCGTTTGCGGAACAAAAATCTGATCAGATCCGGTACCAAGTGATATCCACATCTTGAACCCCAATGCTCCTGGACTCCTGGTACCTAGGCTATGTTAGACTCTGCATATGATATTCCGTGACCCTTTTGCAGTGAAACCATCCTGTCCATCCATGTCCTTCAGTTTTTCCATGAGTTTTGCCACGTATCCCCACCTTGTCATAGGGGATGTCGCCCAAGCACACGTCAAAGAAGCCGATGTCCGCCTTCTCGGTGGGGCGATCATCCTTCACCTGGATGCGCACCATGGAGGTGGGTGCCAAGACGTCCACTTCACATTGATACATCCAGGTGGGCTCCTTCATCCTCCGAGCTGGAAGGGTCTTGCACTTCTCCAGCCTTGAGGTTTGGCCAGGAGGGGTGTGGATTTCAATAGGCGCCAGAGAGAGCGGGGTGAACTGGGGAGTGCATCTGGAGGAAGGAAATGAGAGGCATCACAGATACACAACCCCAAAACGCATGGACCAAACACTTCTTTCATGTTCCTCTATTGTCTGATATTTGACCCTAGGTTTTTGTTTTTCCATGTCCCGCAGAAAGCCAGCGGCAAAAATGTCTTCGCCAGGCAGCTCCGTGTCATCAAGAATCACCTGCACATAGGGATCCGGAGTGGTGTCGGTGTTGAAGAACCCCGATTCGCGCTCCGTGAGGTCCCGTGCAGCCATGATGCCCACCCCCAGCACTGCGTAGGGCGACAAGGTCTCAAAGGCGCGGACGGGGTGAGTCCTCAGACACCGGTGGAGGTATGGTAAGGTGTTAGGAAGCTCATCTGCATCTGCAGAATGGGGAAAAGTGTGGAAAAGTCCAAAAGGATGATAGCTACAAGGAACTGTTTGGTGGCCATTGTGGACTAAACCAGCTAATACCACGTATAAGTGCAGCGACGCAGGAATGCACTTGAGCATGAGGAACCATTCATGCTAGTATATTGGGATGGTTGTCCAAGCCAAAACGATTCCCTACAAGGAATCCGTGAGGGAACCAAGCCCCATATTGATACAAATCTCTCTTTCTCTCTCCATCGCTCTCATTGATGATTTGGAGTGTTTGATTTGTGGCTTCTGTGCTGAACACTGAGTTGCACCGCCCTGAATCCTGCAGCTGAGCGTCACGCACCGCCACTTCTTTGCACGGAAATCATCCTTGGTCTGCACTTTCTTCAAAAGGCTGGATCTCTCATCACCATCAAAGATGGGATAGTTCGCCTGACTCATTGTGGACCTGCGAGCTTTGAACTTCTTCGAACTCAAAGTTCGCCCACTTTGCCCTCCTTCAGAGGGGACGAGCCGTCCTTGAGGCCGGTTTCGGCACAGCTCTCTTGAGCCAAATCTGCTGGTGGCCTTGAGATGCGAGAATGCTATATGGCCTGAAAATTTATTTGATTCCTAAATCATCCTCTCTCGCCGTTGGTTTATCATCATTTCCCCGGTGGGAAAAAAATCCAGATGGGTTTATCTGAGAATAGGATATCCCAAGATCCCATGAGTTATAATGTTCCCTATTGAATGGCCTATTGGAGGGTCCCTCCCCATTTTCAGACCCATCACCACGTGAAGCTAATCAGAGCTGGCAACTACCGTGCCAGCGATTACGTGCAAAAAAACAACTAACGAGACTCTAACGAGATGGAAAGCCATCCCGGCTGAGCCATCTCGGCTGGGCTTTAGAATCAACCCGGAAATCTTCACATCAAATTAATAATGACAACAATGATGAATAACAACAGCAATAACACTAATAACGTCTAATAACAATAATATTAACAGTAAGAATAATAATAACAAAACTAATATAGTAATCATACATAGTAGCAATGCAACATCTCAGGTCATCAGCGGGGCATGGCCTGAGGGACATCATCCGTCCAACATCTGGCAGCTTCCCCTCCAACAGAGTGGCGCATCAATGGTGCCCGCACCGCGTCAGCACTGTCCCCAGGACCGCACCTGACACAGGCGGGCAGAGGGCCCTTGCCCTTGGACACCAAATCATACCAAATCCAAGAGACTTGGTCAATTAACACAACGCAATTGTCCCGCAGAACCATGTGTTTGTTGAAGTGGAATGTGAAGTCGAGAAGAGGAACCCACATGAACCCACCAGTATAACAATGTATTAACATGTATTAACAATGTATAGCATACAAACCCGGTCTTACCCAGGAAAAACTGCTAGCTGTTGGAGCCATCTGTGTGCCCATCCCAAGCCGCGCCAGGAACGTCGGATCTTCAGCAACATGGGAAGTCCCGGCGCACGGCGGTCTGGCCGGGGCCTTGGGGTCAGCAACTCGGAACCTGGTAAGGGGGCTGCATTGCATACCCCGCTACAAGGGGTTACTAATTAAATAAATAATTCCATGGTCCATCTAGGTAGGTCAAGGTCTTTGGTTTTTTCTTCCCTTTTCCCTGTCACTACCAACCTGTCTTTACTTCCTTGGTAATACTTCCCCGTGAATCATGCTGACGTTTGACAACCCAACTCGCACCACCAAGAGGCCCCAGGGAATCCAACGCCCGGCATTCAAAGGCCATGAGGACACGAGCTAAGCACCCTTCACGCTCCACCTCGGACACATCCTCCGGCCAACCCCAAGTTCCTCAGGGCGGGGCGGGGGTTGTCTGATCTCTGAGCCTGGCATCCCCCGTTTGAAGTCCTTCAGCTTCTCAACAGGTTTTAGGTTTTGTCATCTTGGTCTTGATCTGTCTTTTGTGGGTTAGTCTAGAATAGGCTACCCAATGGTTTGAGTTCTCCCATTAGACTTGCAACAAATAGGGGCAAGTATGGGCAAGTCAATTTCCCACCTTTTCCCCACGTCACCCACGTCCCAACAAGTCCGCTATGTCGTCAAAGTCTCCGCTTCGGGCAGGGATTGCCGGGAAGGTCCGAGCCACATCCAGCTGAATTTGGTGAAGCACCTCTGATGGATGCAGTCAGAAAGATCAGCCTACCCCAACGGTTTCAAAAGTAACTGGGAGGCCGGGAGAAAACACTGGAGACATACAAATCCGTTCGCTTGTCCTACCCGAGGATTTTAGACAGCATCTCCATTCCCAACATGTTTTTTAGTTGAGGATCATCTTTCCCAATGTTGTGACTGTGTATGTATATTTTAAGCCACGAACATTCGCACAATTGCTGGTTTCAGAATCTCCATGTCTCTTAGTTTAACCCCATGTGTGTGGCAACTAATATCCCCAATTTGGGGAATCGCTTATCACACTTGGAGTTGCAGCATGTGGTGTGGAACCTCTTGCAGTTCTGGGATTTTAGAGCCAACCTGAAATTCTGAAATTCCCTTTTTAAAGAGTAAATAAGTTTTCAGTGTGATATCTGTGATATCGCTAGCAGCTGCCCACAGAAAACATACATGCCACATTAGTTATCCTGCATTGGGAGCGACTCAAAATTCACCTTGCTAGAAGCCATGGCTATATATATATATATACAATACATAATCGTTTGGAGCCTGTAACACCACCACCAACACCAACACCAACACCAATAGCAACAACAACAACAACAACAACAACAACCACAACAACCACAACAACAACAACAACAACCACAACAACAACAACAGCAGCAACCACAACAAAAACAAAAACAAAAACAACAACAGCAACAGCAACAACAACAACAACAACCAACAGCAACAGCAACAGCAACAACAACCAACAACCAACAACCAACAACCAACAACCAACAACCAACAACCAACAACCAACAACCAACAACCAACAACAACAACAACAGCAACAACAACAACAACAACAACAACAGCAACAGCAACAGCAACAGCAACAGCAGCAACCACAACAACAACAACAACAACAACAAACAACAACAACAACAACAACCACAACAGCAACAGCAACAGCAACAGCAACAGCAACACCACCACCACCACCACCACCACCAACAACAACAACAACAGCAACAGCAACAGCAACAGCAACAGCAACAACAACCAACAACCAACAGCAACAGCAACAACAACAACCAAGAACCAAGAACCAAGAACCAAGAACCAAGAACAACAACAACAACAACAAAGTCACCCTCACAGTGGCACCTTATAAATCTTCCTCAACCAGAACAATGGTTGAACAAGCCATAAAACTTATCCTTCACCAGCTGGGGTACCCACATTTAAAGTTGGTTTCAATATCGTTCAATCAACAAAATTTGTTCAACATGGTGCACCCATATAATTCACTATACTCACTATGACAAAGCTGATTAAACTAAACATGTTCCACTGTTTCAATAACCGATGTGTTCTTACAATAAAATTGGTTTCAATGTCTGTTTGTCTTGAAAACTGGCTTCCCACAAATCCACTGGTTTATCATCATGCTCCTTTTTTAAGATTGCAATGTTGGGTTATGTACTGCCCCATGTTCTGAGGCAGGCCCAAATCCATCATTTTATCGGTCAAATCCCGTATGTTTGCTAGTGAAGCCATGTTAAACCACTGTATATTCTTCACCATGTTTGATGGTTAAACCCCTATGTTCTGGTCACATCCAATATAGCTTATGGATGCTTCTGGCGTGTCCATGTCTTAGCAACCTCCAGCCATCAACCATTGGACCACGCTGCTGCAGCGGGCACTCCGCCGGCTTCGGCTTCTGTTACCAGCGCGCGATAGCTGCGGTGGCCCGCTAAGTCGCTGGCCGTCTTCTTGCGCTCTATGACCTGAAGCCCAAGAAATGGAAAGGCACGGCCTGATTTAAAGGGGGAAAAAAACATGCAAAATCCACATAAATCAACTATTTCTAGGATTTTCTTGGGGTCAGAGGCGTTCCAGGGGTTGGCTTTCAGATTTACAGCCAAAATCAACCATGTGTAGGGGGTGGGGTTTGTAAATGTTCTCCTCATCTTATTCAAACCAATGGGGCTGCGTGGTCGGCGAAGCAACCCCGATAGCCGCTGTACGACCAAAGTGCTCCGGCGCCGGGAATTTGGATTTGACAACCAAAACGAAAAGGAAACTAGATGAAATCACTGTAGGGACACCAAACCAAATGATTTCACTGAGCTCACCAACAAATGTATAAAAATGAAATGTTTGAATCAAAAATTCATAGGTTTGATGTGAATGGAGAAAAAATTGGAGTTTACTGACGTTGGTCAATAAAAACAAAGGGGGTTAAGCATCAGATTGTTAGATTTCAGCAACCAATATGAGGAGTTATGAGGATGTCGCCCGCATAAAAAGGGGTTGCGGCTTTCAAGTGTGGCTGGGAAACCCAAATGACAATAAGAAACGGGTGCCAGGTGCCACAGGCTGTGCATGTCCAACAGTGGGAGAGGGCCTCCAATCCCCAGCTGGGTTGGGGTCGCAATGTTCCTCAAAGCCATCTGGACCAAGAAAAAACAACCCT